CCCACATATAAGCCATGCTCATTAAATATGAGTTAAATGGTGGAACTAAAATTTGATAAAGAAAAGGCATAATTTAGGGATGATGGTCTCCAGTTAAGCTAGAATATGGTGTGTCATTTCACTTTTTGAATATATCATGGAGTGTCCAAAAAGATTTAGGATTCAAGATTTTTTCCCACCTAGTACTTGCCATCGTTGCTGTCACTGTACTGCCACGACAAGTAAAACATACAGAATCTGTGTATTTGTTCTAAACTTTCATCAGAAACGACGAATTTGGGAGGGTGGGCAGAGGCTCATGAAGGGCAAGCTCTTCATCATCTGGCTTCCCCATGGCTTTGGCCGCCATCTCTCCTCGCAGGCTTGCTCTTCAGGGTACTGACAGCTTGATTTCTCTGGGTAATGTCACACAAAGGAAATTAGCTCAGTATGTCTTCTACTGAACTCCATCTGTAGCTCACTGTTTTAAGGTGTTTGTGAACAAAGCTATGAAGTAATTTTGATAAGACAAGGCAATGTTCCAGTCTAAGAATATTTCCCCTAAAGAGCCATTTTTAAAAATACCACCCAACAGCCTGAAAATCCACCCACACATGAACAATCTCCTGCAATATACAGAAAGCTTTTTCAGGTGTCACAGCCATAATAGCAGGTGGTTCCTTTGGGGAGAAAAATTATGGCATGGTTATAGAGACAGAAAGCAAACTGTTTTGATATTCTGGGTACCACTTTCCCTAAGTGAATCATTCCCATATGCCTACTTTTGCCATGGGCCCCTTTCCAGAGGAAGTGATTTGTGAACGGAGGTGGAGAGATGTATTCTGGTGGGCAAACTTCACTGGTGCCCATATTTGGCAGATCCAGTTAATCGTTAGTTATTTGTCAACTCACTCTTTCCCAAGTCTTAAAATGAAAAATTTGGATATGGATTTGACACCTGCTTCTGTTTTCCTCATAAATACGTAATCTTATTATAAAGATTCAATTGTGCTCATTTAAGTTATGGCTGCTTCTGAAACTCCATAAATATAGACTTCATGTACAAGCTTAAAAGGAAAACAAAGATTAGGGAAATTTGTAAAAGGTGGACATTTAATTCACTATTTGTTTGAAATATGCACCTTAAAGAATAGACATTTACTCTCGTGTGAACTGTAGTCACCTGTAAGAAAAATCTAGACTTGTAAAAATGTCATTGTTTCTAGATAGAAGTACAGAAAACCTATAAACTAAGAGTTCTTTATAGGTTTTTTGCCCCCATAGTGTATAAGGCCAGCATTCTTATCATTTACAGGTAAACTGAGTCTCCCTTACTGAAAAGGGAGAGGCTGTTGTTCTCAATTCAATTTAAAACAATAATTTCAACCAAGGACTAATAGGGACAGATGTGTACAGGAAGATTGCTAATGGAAAACTTGACCTTATTTGAATGGAAGACAACTACACTAAAAAAAAAATACAAAGGAAACACAGTCATTAAGTGAACTATGTCCCCTCCAAATCTTACAGGGATGTCATTTACTTACTGTGTGAGTTTAGGAGAGTTCTTTAACCTCTTCCAGCCTCAGTTTTCTGATTTTTATGGTGAGGAATAACAGGAACTAGTAGGGATTATATGTAAAACTTTTAGAACAATGGCTGCACATAGTGAGCACCCAGTAAATGTTACCTCACTTTCTTCCTTCCCCTCAACTAGAATGTCAGTTCTCCATGAGAGCAGGGAGTTTGTCTTATTTAGTTCTGTATTCCTAGCATTTATTTTGTACATAGTTGGTACTCAATAAATATTTGTCAAATGGATTAATTAATAAAAATAGATGGGCTCTGAGTTTGAAAGTCAAAGAAAATTTGTTCTCTTTTATCTGTTGAGGGAAAAATAAATCTCAATTTAGGGTCACTTATAGAGGTAGGAGAGACGCCTCAACTAAGATGAGAAGACCGATTAAAGTTTGAATCTTTCTAACTTTGATGGTGTTAGAATTAAGATTTTCTTTCTTAATTTGTAAAATGGGAATGATAGCTCCTAAGGTTATTCTGCACACTAAATTAAAGAGGATGCAAAAGCCCACAATAAACTATAAAGGGTTAAACAAAATCATGATATTGCTAATTTTCCTCTCAGTGAGCTTGTTCACTGGATGACAATAAAAAGATTCTTTGAGAGTGTTGGAAGAAAGAATCTTTAGCTAAAGATTTAAGTACTAAAAATATTCAACCCCAGAGGTACCACAGACATAGACTAATTTTTTCCATCTGTGCAGTTTAGGGTAGATTTGGCATACACTCAATACCAGGCAAGAAAGAAACTATGGTTTAGGCTGCTTTTAAAGTTAAAAAAAAAAAGGCAGAAAAGGAAACTATTTCCTTTTATAAGCATGAATGTTAAAATAGAGAGAGCCTTCATCGAGTAATTCACCAGTGAAGCAAGACTATTTGATCCATATCCTCCCCTACCTTCCCTCACTCCCTATTTGTGTTCACGTAGTTGTTTTCTATATCACAGTTTATATGTCATGGTCACTTCCTCCTTACCAAAGGAAAGCAAATATAGATTATTTTTAATCAGCCACATATGACTCAGAGGTCAAAGGAATGGTTCTTTATAGAACAATCTCCCTGAATTACTAATATTTAAGGACCTGGTTTTCACCTGGGATTATTCAAAATATTACAGCTTTAAGATTAGGCTCCACACAAGATGGCTCAACAGAGCCTGAGTCAACTGACCTGAGGAAAAAGATCAAGTAGCAGAAAAAGTCATGGCGGGTGAATTGATGACTCACTGCCCCTGCCTTGAACTTCAGGAATGATGAGAAGGAAGGTGGGGGTGGGGGGAAGCACTGCCCTATGACAGACCAGAGGATCCAAGAAAGATGAGAAATTCATAGAACTTAAAGAATTACATGGGTTCTTAGAGTGAAGGCAATAAATCAAATGTCCATGGTCAAGTTGTTAAGTGCACCAAAGATAGGACATTTGGAAAACTAAACTTGATTATATTTTATTAGAGCTATTGTCTTAAATCTGATCATTTTGTTCTCTTGCTCAAAACTTCAATAACTACATTGCTCCTGGATGAAGTCTAAACCTGCAATGGCATAGAATAATCTTCACACAACGATCCTAACCTTCCTTGTTAGTTTTATCTTCTAATTAATTCTTCATATTTATTTTGGAAGATGTGGGGGACTGCTTAGAATTTCCCAAATATGCAAGATGTAAACCCCATCTATTTGTTTACACTGCTCTTTCTGCCCAAAGCTCTCGTCCCAGCTGGCAAACCCCTGGGCTTCAAAGCCTGTCTCAAGTATCATTTTTTTTTTTTTTGGTTTTTTCACTTCTTCTTTTTTTTTTTTCTTCGGAAGGTTTTTTTTTTCTTTTTTGGGTTCCCGGCCTTTTAGTATGCCTTTGTTAAACCACTTGATTCAATGAATTAGATCCTCTCCCCCAACATACTGCATGCTCCCTGAAGTCAAGTGTGAGCAACTCATCGTGCAATTCTTTCCAGACTGTAGGAGAAATAATACAGGCTTGTTGAATTGAATCAAATATTAAAAGACAACCAAAGCATAGGTGAATTTCCTAGGCCCAGGAATTATGGTAGGACTAGAAAGTGTATGCTCAATGATTCTGCTTTTGGTATTACTAGAGGGTGTGTCATTTGCCTTTATTAAAAAACAGTGTCATGAATATATTTCCCTAGATAAAAATTTATCATCCATTTTCTATTTAAAATTGACTTTCCTATATTCCAGTTAGCTACAAGTAGCTGCGTAATTTGAAACATTGTCCAGCTGAAGTGGAATCACTTTGTGGGCTTGCTTTAATCCATGCACCTCTATTTTGCTTTTGCTCTTCAGAGAGCCCCTCCATAAACCATGGCCTCTGAAGGCATGAGCTGAACAGGAAGCAGATGAACTCTATTGAATTTTAACCTTGCCATGTTCTTTGCTCTAGCATTACACTTCTCTGCTCTACTTGAACAAGTTAACAAAGAAATATATAGTGTATAAAAGTTTTAATTAAAAAAAGAAACATATAGTTTATAATACAATACTTCTCACTCCCTGCCTGTACTAGAGATTAAACCCAGGGGTTGCTTTACCACTGAGCTATATCCCCAGCCCTTTTTTAGATTTTTATTTTGAGACAGGGCCTCTCACTACTAAATTGCTGAGGTTGGTCTTCAACTTGGGATCCTCCTGCCTCGGCTTCCCAAGGCACTGGGATAATAAGCATGAATCTATTGTTGCCTGGAAATGCTTATCTTTTTTTTCTTCTTATCCATATGCCCACCTTATTCCAGAAGAATAAGAATTTGAGAGGTTGAAAAAAAAAAGTTAAATCTGAAAACCAATTTTTTCATACTCTTTTCTTTGGCTCTTTGGATGAACTTCTGTTAGTTCTGGTGGTTAGTGTGAAAGATTTGTGGAAAAGTTCTACGGATGTTAGTGACAGCATTTTCTGAAGCACCTTTTTATCCTGGTTTATAGCGAATGATTCTGTCAGCACCTACAGATCACTTTTATCCTAAGACCAAGTAAACTGAAATTTGTTCAACCTTAAAATCCATCATTTCTGGCCTCATTTTGTACATAACAATGTAGTTAATTACCCAGCATGCATTCTGGCTAAGTATGACCATCACTGATTCATGTCTGGAGGTGCTCAGAGGATTCAGCATGAAGATTAGGAGTGGGAGTTATGGAGTCAGTCTGTCTGAGTCTGTCCACACCTCTGACCGGTTATATGACCTCAGATAAGTTACTTTATGTATGTCTCACCTGTTTTATCAGTGAAAAAGAAATAATAATAGTGCCTATCTCATGGGTTTATTTGTGGAATATGTGAATTAAATATGGAAAGCACTTAGATTAGTGTCTGGCACAGAGTGAGTACTCAATAAACATTAGCCCTTATATTCTAGATTGTATATACTGTCCCTCTATATATTGGGGTATGATAAGTGGTTACAATAAAAAATTAAAGAAAGGAGGGTTATTTTTAGAACCAACTTTATTTACAAAACTCCAATTAAGTCTTCTTTGGTACCATTATTGACAAAATACCTGCAACTAAGATATTAGTTAAGGAGACACATTGATTTTAGCTTTACATAAAACCAGAATCCACATTATCCCAGTTTCCTATTTCTGTGTGGCTCTGAATACAATTTTTAAAAACAACAAACAATGAAAAAAAATTCTTTATAATACATGGTGGCTTAAGCTTCTTTCCATATTAGGGTTTGGAAAAACACTACTCATGTAAAATTTGCTATTCATAGAAAAATCCCTAGGGAATAGGAAAACATAAAGACTAAGGTTCAGTTTATCTGGCTTTCATAATACAATATCCATAATGGCTTTAGGAGAATGTAAATAAATAACATCAGTAAACAGTATATATTGATAATTTTTTTTAAAACTCATTTATCTAACAACATGCCAACAGATCAAAAGGATTTTTCCATATATTTTAAAGTTTTAATTTATTCTATAAGCTGATTCATAAGTTTTTCTTCACATTAAAACAGTTATCACATATGCTAACCAGTACCCATGGAAACCTAATAGCTTGCTTTTTTTTTTAACTCCCTCTTAATACTTAGATGAGTCTGATACATGTGTATTTGAAATGAGTGGATACTAATGCCCTTTAGTCAAGAATGTAAAAATCAATGATATCTGACATCAAGCTGTAAGAAAAACTTCTTTAGATCGGGAGGTAGCTGAGTGACATGTAAAAAGAATATTTTATCTGAAATTAAGAATACACTTATACCAGACAGAAGTAGTAGAGGAGAGGAAGAAGTAAAAGTAGAAGGAAAGAATAACTTCATTGGCTTAAATTAAACTGAGGTAATTAATTTGAGACAGCGAATAAATAAATCAACAAATGCCCCTTTTTGTTTTAAAAGAGAAGAAAGAAAGGGAGGAAGAGAGAAAATCAGTAGTAAATCCTCACCACAGTTTTAAAGTTGATCCATTAACATATTTTAAATATGAAAAAAATATTACACATATGTCATAATTCCATTCATCGAATACATTCCTCTGCTGAGATATCTAACACATCTTCATCTGTACTCTCTTCTATCTCTGGCAAATTGCCCCAAAGCAGGAAGTTTACACCTGAAAATAGAAGGCCATAACATTTTTTAGTGCTCACTAATATTACTATGCAGAACATGATTTATGAAACTTTATATGTTAACATGCTTAGATAAACCAGTGTTAGCAGTTAAAGCACACACTATAAATAAAATTGTCTTATATTATCCATCTAGGATATAAACATTCTTCAATCCCTTTTAAGCAAAAACTTGAATTTTAGAATCTTAAAATTCAAAAGAATTTTGAATTTTAGCTACATTATGCCATACCACTTTATACTGATAATTTTCTAATCTATTTTAATGATTTTTAAGAGCAGAAATCTTGTGAGATTCTTTTACAATAAGTTCCTCTTTGGAGGGTACAGGGAAAAGTCCTGAAGAAGTCTCCTTTATCTCTTCTATAAGCATAGCAGTAGCTAGTGCCATTTTACTGACTTAAAAAAAAATAGACAACATTTTTGGATCCAGTTATATGAACAGCAATCCTTGAAGTAGGTGGGCTTTAGTTTAGAGGCAGTAAGGCAGAGCTATAAACTTTAGAACCAAGTTTCAATAGTCAAACTAATCAACAAAAGAACAATCTAAGATCTTATTTCAAAAGAATGGATTTGAGATTGAAGAATCTAGCACAGTATATAGGACAAGACCAAGCATATTAAGGATAATGAGAAGGTTTTTTACCAGGGCATGTACCATATTATAGCTTCAAAGTACTAAATTGAAGGGGTGGGGGAAAATGACCTCTAGGAGAGCCAATGAAGTTCCGTGAGAAAAGCAAATCTCAAACATCGAGTTGCAAGTGTGGACACAAGGAAGATCCAGCATCTGGGGACCCACCTACACAGAGACAGTGGCCACATGGTAGAATGGAATGAAGTTTTGGTTTGAATTGAGTTCCCAACTCTACCAGTACCCTAAGAATGGTTTTACTATTTTTACTACAAATGTATACAATCATAAAAAATATATATTATTGTTTTGTGTATCTAAAATTTTTATAGAATGGTATTTTTCTGTATATTTTTCTAACTTGTTTTTATCATTCATTGTATTTCTGAGGTTTTCCTGTTTGATATGTTTAGATTTAGCTCCTTTAAACTCTATAGAGTATTTCATGATGTGAATTTAAAAAAAAATGTTTCAAATATAGCCTACCACTCATCCCTTCTTTTTGTTGCCCATTTTGCACATGTACCCAAGGCAACATATACAAAGATAGGTATTTATATTGATGAAAAAGTGAAAAAAAAATAAACTGCCTGTCTGAAAGAGATACTGGAATCTAATCAGGTACGAAATTAGCATGTAATTGATGCAAGTGGGTACACTGATGTCAACCATGTTATTTTTGCATTTATTTTGTGTTTGAATTTCTTATTATTTAAAAAAAATACCCCTCCATCTACCTTTATCCCTAAGAATGAATGGTATTCTGGTTCTGGTAGTATGACATTTGAAGAACTGACAGGATTGCAAGGAATTGCAAGACAAAAATCTAAGTGAAAATTAGCCATAAAGGTAAAGTGGAGAGCTGAAGCCACTTTGCCCTTGGGAACATTTGCCTAATTTCTAGGGAACCTGGGCTGAGATTTCCCAAGCCTCTTTGGGAAAATTCTGGGAAATCAAATCCATGAAGCTAGCCTAGAAGTATATGAAGAGACCTAGAATTCCAGGTCTCTCCTGGAATTGTTTTTAGTCTAAACATTCTAGAATTTTATAAAACTTGTGTATGTATTCCTTTGATGTTATTGTTTCAGGTGATTCAAGGACAGTTCCAATGCCATTAGAAATCCTCTTTTATACCAAACATCTAGAAAATCTTTCTTTAAAATCACAATATTAGGGTTACAAAGGAGAAGTTTGATATTCTTGGAGTCAATACTCAGAGCCATGAAGCAGCTCAGCACAACTGGTTCAAAAGAGAAAAAATAAACTTAGAGATTGAATCTGACAGAAGTGCCACCTTCCTTTCTCTGTTAAGAAAGGAGGAAGGAAATCCTGTGATACATCTGTTTCTCATGGATTAGATTCAGTGTGAATGAAAGAATGCTGGGCTTTTATCTTTGAAAAATTGACCAATATTAAAAGTAAATCAAAATTGAAAAATCTCCACCCTGTGTTTTGAATCCTGTGAAGCAGGAAAAACAATATCAAAGCAGAGACGTCCTGTAACATGTCCTATGAGCAACACAAATATATAAAGAAAATACTAAATTAGAAACCTATATCCTATTTAGGGGAATTAAGAGAAGTCCTTGCTAGAAAATAGCCTTCTTAACACATAGAGTCTTAAGACTGCCAAATGCTGGTTTAAGAGCTCTAGTTGAGTCCCAATTGATTTGGGAAAAAAAAAAAAAAGTCAGTGTATTAAAAACCCAAGCATAAACTGCTTCTGGGGATACTGCAGGATGGTTGCACGTAGTTGCACCCATTATGACAATATAGCTTGCAATTCATGATCTTTTGGTCTATGAGGGGAAATAATTTATATTTTAAAAAGAAAATACATCTGGTAGGTGCCGTGGTTGCAGGTTCCACTACCACCGCTGCTGCGGAGGCCGGACTTGGTTGCCTCGATTACCTCCAACGCTACTTCTGAAGCTACCTCCATGGTCTCTGCTGCTGAACCAGAAATCAACTGCCGCCTGCACTGCTTCCCCATTGGTGCTGCCTCTGATTCCGCTGCTGTCAGCATGAGGTCCCCTGGAGGTCTTCTTTTTGGGTGTTGTGGCCACAGAAGACACTGTTGGCTCAGATGCAACTAAAGCTGACACTGCTGTTGATCCCCAGAGATGGCCTGGTGATGCTGTCCCAACAGTTGCAACTGCATGTGCCCCTGCAGCTGCGCTGCCTGCTGCCAACAACCACCGCCAATACCACTGCTACCCCAGCCTAGAGGACTGCTTCTGGGGATACTCCAGGTTGGTTGCACCCATTAAGGGACACCAGCCAGGGCCTGGGGCCTGGATGCCAGCAGGTTTACCACCACATGAGCCTCTGTCTGGGGACTCCAGCAGGGACTTGCAGGTCCAGTGTGGGGGTGCCTGTGGATTTGGAGGAGCCTGGGGTCTTTCTGCGGGGAGTGCTGGTGGCTGTTATCTTGCTGCTGCATCTCAGGATTGCTCCTTTGTATGAGTGTATCCCTGGTGGTCTCTCTGCAAGTAGGAGTAGCATTGAGATCTTGGGACTGCAGCCTGGCAGAGCCTGAGGTATCTGAAGCCCAGATTGGTGGGATAAAGAAATGGGTTTGTGAGGGCTGATCTGGGTTGGGTGATCCCAAGAGACATCAGAGACGGGGCTGAGAAACTGTTGAACGCTGACAGAGACAGTTCAACATTCCAGCAAGATTTATTTTATTTTATTTTTCGGTTTGCTAATCTCTCTGCCATATTTGGAACAGGATGTTTTTTATGCATCAGTGTGTGGAGGACAATGATATATGAATGGTGTTTTGCATTTTTGTTGTATTCGTGTGTCTTTAATTTTTTCTCTTTGTTTATATTCTTCCCCTCTCTTGTCTGTTTTCTTTCCAACGTTGCTCCAATGAACAGTCAATCTCTGTCATCTCCTCTTCCACCCTTCCTGTGAATTTTTACTTCTAGTTTCTCTCTTCCTCCTTTGCAAATATCGCATGCTGTACTACCTCTGTTGTCTCATCCACCATTTGAAATTCTAAACCGTTTAAACAAATTTTCTGATTGTACTATAGATAATTATTGAACTCATCATTTTGGTCTAATACGAGAAGCAGCAGACACCTTAGTGGGAGCTGTTAAGATTAAGGCTATATATTGTTTACACTGGGTGCTGTTGATACTGGTCTCACTAGTAAAGGTGAAGTGCTGGAAACCTTCAGGGGCACCATAGGTTTATAGGGTAGAATTTATCCTGACTTAGATCCATACTTTTTTGTAGTTGTAGATGGACAGCATGCCTTTATTTTATTTGTGTATTTTTTATGTGGTGCTGAGGATTAAACCAAGTGCCTCCTTGCCCAAGGCAAGCACTCTGCCACTGAGCTACAGCCCCAGAACTGTAGATCCATACTTCTAGATGGGAAAACACACTAACAACATGAAAAAACAAGGGAATAAAGTGTCCCAAACAAACCAAGATGCTTCAGCAACAGAAACCACTCATAACACAGTAGAAAAAAATGTTCAAGAAGGAGTTCAGATAATACATAGTTAAATTGATGTGTGAAGAAAAGAATAGTATAAGGAATGAAATCAAAGAAAAAATATAGGAAGTGAAAGACCACTTCAATAAAGAGTTAGAGATTGTGGGGGAAAAAAAAGCAGAAATCTTCAAAATGAAGGAATTAGTAACCAAAATTATAAATTCAATAGAAAGCATCAGCAACAAATTAGACCACTTGGAATGTCAGACAATGAAGACAAAATATAATCTTGAAAGTAGAGTTGACCATGCAGAGAAGATGGTACGAAACCATGAATAGAACATCCAAGAATTATGGGATAATATGAAAAGACCAAATTTAAGAGTTATCAGAATAGAGATACAAACCAAAGGAATGCACAATCTTTTCAATGATAAAATAGCAGAAAATTTCCCAAAACTAAAGAATAGAATGGAAAGTAAAACACAAGAGTACAAATGTACAAATGTACAAAATTATTAAAAAAAACCCCACACCTAGACACATTATAATGAGAATGACTAACAACAGAATAAAGATAAAATCTTAAAGGCTATGAGAAGGGAAAAAAAATCAAATTACGTATAGGGGGAAACCAATTCAGATTTCAATTGATTTCTCAACCCAGACCCTCAAAGCTAGGAATATATTATTCCTAGCTTTGAGGAATAATATATTTCAAGCTCTGAAAGAAAATGGATGCCAATCAAGAATTTTATATCCAGCAAAAGAAAGTTTCAGATTTGAAGATTAAATTTTAAAAATCCATGATAAACAAAAATGAAAAGAATTCACAACTAAAAAACCTACATTACAGAGCATTCAAAATAGAATATTCCATGAAGATGAAATGAAAA